TATATTTTTTATTTAACTAAATGGTTTTTTATTATTTAAATTAAGCAATTGGATCAATTTCAAGAGTCAAATATGTATCGACGCCGCTTGTCTATAAATACTAAAAAATATTGTTTTTTTGGTTAAAACAGACAAAATTGTAGATAAAAATATATATATACCTGTAGGTATTTCTTTACAAAGCATTTGCAAGTAAGGGGGTTTCGAAAAACCAAAAATCGAAAAAAAATTGAACCCAACACCGAACCAAAGTCGGAAAAAAATCAAACTAAAGAAAAACCAAACCGAACTTGAACACCAAACCAAACTAAAACCTATTGGTTCGGTTTCAATTTCAGTGGTTCGAAAACCGAACCGAAATTTCTTAAAACGACGTCGTTTTAAATGTTTTAAACTTAACCCTAATACACCCCTGGCCATCAATCACGAGTTCCAACTTCAAATGAATCGCAGCCCAAAACCCTTGGTCCCTCAAGTGAATGCTCAAAAGTATTTAAATGTTAATAAAACTTTACACTCTGCAAGTATTACCAGGTAAAGCGCTTTACACAAAAGCATTTTCAGAGCAAATTTTGAATTTTGATGTATTTATTACAAATTTAGTGTCATTAACATTAAAATTTTAATCGTGCGCAGTGGTCTTGGCATACTATTGTAATGGGCTTTTGCTTCCTGGTGTTTCTATTCGCAACAAGACATATTGTAAGCTTCTCTAGCCTACTCTCTATCATCAACTATGTGTGTGTGTGTGTGTATCATCTCCACATTAGAATTTTATATATGATTTTTTGGGTACAGGGGAAAACAAAGCCAAAGCTCTTTTGGGTTGCAGCAGCAGCTCCATTGACATCGGTTATCATTTCTACGGTTCTAGTCTTCCTCCTCCATTCAAAAGCTCCTCGAATCTCAGTTGTACGTACTCGCTTCTAGATCTGGCGATTTTAGTTATGAACGTTGCTCGACTCCTATGAAATGAACCATTGTTCCTTCATGCGTCAAATTGTGATTATAAAGATTGTTATTATATTTCGTCACTAGATTGAACGTTTTATGTAACAGATTGGCCATTTGCCAAAGGGTCTCAATCCACCTTCATCAAACATGCTATACTTCAGTGGCCCTCACCTTGCTCTTGCTGTTAAAACTGGCATTATAACAGGGATTTTGTCTCTCACAGTAAGTCACCCAAATCTTGGATCCATCTCTCTTTTAACTGGACTATTCTACCACTCAGTACTGTCACGTAATAGAATCACTCTTCGAAGTTTTTCTTCTTACAAGGCAGTCCTTCACATATAGCTATTAAACATGCGTATCTTTCTTGCATTGCAGGAAGGAGTTGCAGTAGGAAGAACATTTGCATCTCTGAAAAACTACCAAGTTGATGGAAACAAAGAAATGATGGCTATTGGGATCATGAACATTTGTGGTTCTTGCTCTTCATGCTATGTTACCACGGGTAAAGATCCTCCCCTTCTTGCTTGACCTAAAAGCAATCCAACTCCAGCGATTAAGGCAGTAACTAAAACCGTAATTTTCGTTTACTTTCAGGTTCGTTCTCTAGATCTGCAGTAAACTACAATGCTGGAGCACAAACAGTAGTTTCGAACATAATTATGGCATCAGCTGTGCTTGTCACTCTGCTGTTTCTAATGCCATTGTTCTATTACACCCCCAATGTCATCTTAGCAGCCATTATCATAACCGCTGTGAGCGGACTCGTTGATTACCAAGCTGCATACCGGTTGTGGAAAGTTGACAAACTCGACTTCATGGCCTGCATGTGCTCCTTCTTGGGCGTTCTCTTCATTTCCGTCCCTCTTGGTCTTGCAATTGCGGTAAGATTTCCTAATTTCTAAGATTATTGTCTTTATCGGATTCAATGACGTTTGTCAACTTTCAATCTCTAACATCTTGGCTGTACATTTCAGGTTGGAGTATCGATTTTCAAGATTCTTCTTCATGTCACCAGGCCAAACACAATGGCTCTAGGGAACATTCCGGGGACACAGACATACCACAATCTCAACAGATACAGAGAAGCTTCAAGGATTCCTTCATTTCTCATACTAGCAGTTGAGGCACCCATCTACTTTGCAAATTCGACGTACCTACAAGAAAGGTAAGTTTCCAGCTGACTGTTAAAAGATAAAACAGATATGATCACCTTTTTGCTTTCGTTATCTGATTTAGGTTCTCCTACTTGCAGGATACTAGGATGGGTTCGCGAGGAAGAAGAGAGGATCAAAGCAAGCAACGAGAGCACACTGAAATGTGTAATTCTGGACATGACAGGTACGCCATTTATGAAATCTTTGCTGAGTCTTCGAACATTAACAGCATGTAACAATGTGGTCGCGAATGTTTTCCCACATCTTGCTCATAGTTTTCATCTTCTTCTCAGCTGTGACAGCCATAGACACTAGTGGTACCGACATGATGTCAGAACTTAGAAAAATGCTGGAGAAAAGATCGCTTCAGGTGAGAATTATATCGAAACGCTTCATTCAGTGCTCCAAAACTTCAGTAGTTGTGGACATTGTTTCTTATTTTGTTGTTCTGGTGTTTGTTTACTCTGGCAGCTTGTGTTGGCAAACCCTGTTGGAAGTGTAATGGAAAAGCTAAAACAATCCGAAACATTGGAGTCGTTTGGATTGAACGGGCTCTATCTTACAGTCGGAGAAGCTGTAGCTGACATTTCATCAGACTGGAAGGCTCAACCATGACTTGCTACTCTAAAGGGCTTCAGTTGGAGAATGGAAGGAGAAGCATAGAGACTTATATATAACTAGCTCTGCATTCCTCCGTAGTCTAGGTAGGAAGAGCTCGGTCGAGGCCAGTGGTTTTTTTATTTACTTTTTCTTGCGTAGGGAATCCAAGGCAAAGAATCATTTTGTTTTGAATTAAGAAATTTTGAAGTTTATTGTCCAAGTTCTGCGTTATTTTAAGCTTCAATGTTGTGTTGCATGATGAAGTAAAGCTCAACAATAAGTCAAATCACACCACAAATTAATTAGATGCTTGGGTAAGTGGCACTAATCCAATCTCTATGAGAGGGTTCGAGATCTAGTTCTCGAAAGATTGGATTGCTGCTACTAATTCACGTATTATAACATGATTTGATGACAGATGTATCGTTTAGAGGTATTAGTAAATACACACACGTTATAACAATAGAGAACCAGTAATACCACATGGCAGTGTTACTTAGATGCTGAATTTTTTTCATCTTTAACGACGTGAAAAATCGAGGCTAAGGAATAGGTTTCAGCATTCCTTGAGAAAACATTTTGCAAGCCTTCCTGAACCACGACTCAATAAAAACAACATGCAGTAAAGGCTGTCTATTCAAATTCTAAGGTGGTGATTCCTGACTTGGACTTGTAAAAGCAGTCCATAAGTTGAATGAAATGTGCATCATCGAACGCATCAGGAAGCAAAAGCTTTGTGTCTGCAAATCAAGGTTTTAGAAGACGTTAGGGGCTAGTTAGGCGGCAGGTTAGGACCTAGTGTCTACGTAGCTAGGTAGGGGCTTAGGCGGACTAGGTAAATTTAATTAAATTTATTATATAACATATAAATAAATGTCTAGTTACACTCTGTTGATGCACAAAATCAATGAGAACTTTGGTACAACAGAAAATGTTAAGTTTGTGACCTTCGCTAGATTGCTCCAGTCACTAGTGTGGATAAGTATGTAAATGGATAGAGATAGGGAAGCAAACACAAGATGTACGTGGTTTACCCAGATTGGCTACGTCTACGGAGTAGATGAGTTCTCATTAATTGTGAAGGGTTTACACAAGTACATAGGTTCAAACTCTCATTTAGTGAGTACTAGTGAATGATTTAGTACAAATGACATTAGGAAATATTGTGGGAGAATGATCTCATTTTATAGAAGAGTGTTTCTAGCTTTGTTCTGACTCGTGATTGGCTTCTGATGTTGACACATGTCGCACTATGATTGACTTCTGATGTCGACACGTGTCGTGCTATGATTGGCCTCCTAGTTGAAGGGAAACTCTTCTGAGTTCTTAACGGTATAACGTTGACTGATGCTCGGTAGTTTCAGGATTGATCAAGTATGGTACAAACACACTCTAAAAAATAAAAATCATCAGAGTAATGCACTAAAAATAAGAAAAACCAAAAACTAAATTTGAAAATTAACTAATTTATAATCCAGGTTCCTTTTTAGTAGGTTACGAGGAAAACTCTTAAAGTTAGTTATAAAAAAAAAAAAATTAAAAACAATAGAACTGCCTAGACATTGCTTAGCCAGCGTACCCACCACCTAGCCCGCCTAGCCGCCACCTAGCCCTTCCTCAATTTTTCTACACGTTTAGGCCTAAATCGCACGGCCCTCCACCGCCTAGCGCCTAGGCGGCCTCCTAGGACGATTTTTAGAATAGTGCTGCAAATGCAACAGGTTTGGGCAACCACATGTAGAATTCGTCTACATATAACGTTTCTAGCCAGTCGTAAGTCGACGATTCGTTAAGAGAAATCAATTTTCCATTAGTTACTTTGATTTCTTGATACAAAGAACAGCTCACGCTTCCAAACTTGAGAAAGGTTCCTAATGCAAACGTTACCAATAATATACATAATTCTCTTGTACAGCTTGCTTTGAACATTTCGAGTCCGTTTGATAACCATTTGGCTTCTGGTTTTTAGTCTTCACATACTTTCCTCATATCTCAAGTACAAAACTAAAAACCAAATCGTTATCCAACGGGCCCTAAAACTTTCTGATGCAGACTAGAGAAACTATGACAATTCTGGAGATGTGGAGTATGATAACAAAGAGTTAGATATACAAGCAACAACGGGGAAAAACACTAGACAGCGAAACACATCTTTTAACGCTACGCTTTCTTATAAACTAGCAGAATTTTTGTTCGATTAATCTCATTAAGAAAATTCTTAGGCTTGCAACTCGTGATATAGCTAAATTAGAAAGCATGCCTAAGATCAACATAAAGAAAATAGGGAAAGAACAAAGTGCTCCCAGGTTCAAGCATTCTGTCTCGGAATTTCAATTTACTAATCCTACGTAATAAAGTCTAACGACACAAAAGAATTACCAGAAATGGTAACAAACAAGAATTATGCAACCAGAATTGATAAGGCGTATCATGTTTATAGAAAATAAAATAGAACAAGGATATCAGAAACGTAGTAGGCGTTGCTCTACTCAAAACCACCTAAAATTGTACATTATGATTTCCTAGCACAATGCATACCTAGTCTCATTTGCTCAAACCTCCCCATCATTTAAAGCACTGTGTCAAACTTTACACTTGTCCTCCGTAACAGCCACCGTCATAGATAAAAGAATCCACACATTATGGTAGATTCTCTCCTCATCATAGATTGAATTTGGTATTAATAATCTTTATCTGGAAGTTCCTCGGCAACGAAAGAATAGCCACTATAATCCCACATGTTTGTTCTTGCCTGTTGAGTTTCTCGTCAGTCAAACATCTGCATGGAGATAGTTCCATATTAATTATGAAGATATAATGATTTGAGAAGAGAGGATAAAAGTCAGTCATGCGATTACTTGACCAGTTCTTGATTCTATATATAAAGCTTTGACCAGTCAAAACATTACCTAAATTACTAATTTATGCAAGCAATGGAACTTTCTTAGGATGTAAGGTATGATCAACCTACCAGCAAGCCCAACATTTGACAATCGATCGACCAAAAAGACATACATGAATGGGAAGTCTAAATCATGATTGGTAAACAACTAATTTTAAAACACATGGCAGACAAGGTATAATCTCATTTAATAAGCAGGAAGGCAGAGCATAAGTATTATCATATCTTTTCATCTGGGCAAAAACAAAACTATCTTTTATGAAAATACTAACAAATAAGAACAAAGAACTGCAAGTTCTTGATGCATATAATAAAAAATAGCACAAAGAGCACATAGACACAACATATTTGACATAAAATTGACCCCAAAAAGAAATGTTATAGGTTTCTTCGTAAATTAGCTGACTTGCATAGGTCCATTAATACACCAACCCTTTTTCTAAAAACTTTGGAAAATAAAACTGTTTTGGACTTGAAGGAACCAAGACATTGTCGATGTGTGAGTCAAGATGTGGGACAAAATCTTGTTACCCATCCCACATCTCGACTATAGAATGGCCTTAAAATTGCTTATCCAAAATAGGTTGGTTTTCTAAATTTTGAAAAAAATAAAGGTGAGTTTCTATTGGGTCTATGTGAAGGGGTTACTAAAAAAGCCCAAATTTTCCCAGATGAATGAACATGACAACTTTATGTTGGGTACATCTAGCTAGTTAGTTTAGGATGGAAAAACTTACTTGCACGATATCGTGTTATAGGAATCTCGCGCAGTTCACGTCTAATGCAGAGATATTCACCTAGCAAAGCCATCACTGCAACTCCAGTAACATTCACAACCCACCATGTCATTGACGAAGGCCAACCCCCATAAGCGATGCATATAAAGAGATGTACAATGTATAGGGTGGCTGAAAAATCTAAGCACTTCTTTGCCCTCTCAATCAGAAGAAGCAGATATCCAGCGCTGCAAACAAACATATGCACAATTCATAATTCACACAAGACTAAGTTCCATTTACAAACATAAAATAAAATCAATTGTGTTCCAGACAATAAATGTAATGTCAATGCAGACATGGAAAACACGACAAAATAAAATTAAAAAGCAAATGGAAATAGTAGTAGTATGAGATTCTCACCCTGCAAGTGCACTGAGCAGATAGGAACCAATGACACACCACCCGGTGACCGTGGAGATAGTGAGAGTGGCATAGTCAAAGAAATACACTAGGCTCATTCGAGACACGCGAGTGCCAACAAGAATAGACAAGAAGAACCCCAGAGTGAGATAGTATAAACATTGAAGGCACACAATTTGGACAACAATGAGCCAAGGGTCCCATACCAATGTACCATAGAACATTGTCTACTACAATAATCAAATTCCCACACAGCCAGAAGCCCTTCAAACTCTCAAACCACTAATGATTTCTCCAAAAGCATGAATAACCACTTCCCATTTGCTCTCAAAAATTAAACCCAAACCCAAGTCTGCGACTTTAAGGACAATTAGAGTTCCCAATGATCCCAATGCTTAATCAACAAGCTTGAACCCTAAACAATCAATCTGATTTTACAAAATTCTGGATTTCTACTCTAACATTCATGTCACTGAACCCCGAGTTGAAACCCATGAATAATACAAAATTTGGATCTGACTTCAACAAAGCCAGAATCTAAGGGATCTTCCCCAGTTAAGAAATAACAAAAAAACTGAGAATTTCTCGAGAAAATTGGGAATTTAAGGCCGAATTGGAACTTGTATGAAATTAAACGTGTACTGGAAAGATCCAATCTGAAATCGAACAAAGGGAATCGTACAGAAAGAAGAGGAATTGGAAAACCTAGATCGAGAAGGACGAAGAGCTTGAAGCTGACCGTTGGGAGATCGGCGACGGGAATTGCAGAGTCTCTCAGAGGAAAGCCTTCTGCTTCTCTTCTGGACTCTCGTGTTTTTTTCTAATGAACCAAGATATTCGTCGTTCGTTTGTGCTGATTGCAATTTGCAATAACATGAGAAAGCACAGGCCAGAGAGTGCTGGCCTTTTTTCTTTCTTTAGTTCCTAATTTTCTAACTTATGTTTTTTTAATGAAAACATTCTTATACATTCATATTTAATTATGACGGTTGATTTCGTTTACTGTATTGAGAAATGCTAAAGCGATTCTCCCAACCTAAGGGCTAGTTTGGTATTGCTGTGCTTTGAAAAAAAACTGCTGTGAGAATAAGCGGCTGTGCTGTGAGAATAAGCGGCTGTGAAATAAAGCCAGTAGAGTGTTTGGTAAACTTTTTTTGTGAAAGTGCTTTTGAAAAAAAAAAGCAGAATGATAGTGTGTCTTTTCATTAAAGGAGCACTGTAGCTCCGTGTGCTTTGAAAAAACTGGCTTTTTTTCAAAGCAGCAAATAGCAACTTCAGCTTTTCCTTTGATTTTCAGCTTATTCTCACAGCAGCTTCCAAAATAAGCCCTTTTTTTTCAGTTTACCAACACAAAAATGACCCTCAGCTTTTTTTCACAGTGGCTTTTTTTAAAATCACCTCAATCCCAAACGGGGCCTAAGACTCTCCATAGACCTTCGTCATCTCATGTTTTTTACACAATTCTTGTGCCAACGTTATAATAACGAGAATTTATCATTAATAGCCGAAATTTCACACCCAATTTCATAAATGTCACTTTTTGTAAAAACTTTCAAAATTAGCAGAAAACTCATGTGAATAGACCTAAATGCCCTCAAAATTAAAACTTTTTCTCATCTACCAAAATTAAAACTTTTGGAGAACAGATCGAAAATCCCATTGCTCTGACTTTCTCATCTACCAACAATCAGTAGTTGTATGAAGAAGGGGCAAAAAATTGTAACAGGAAAGCTGCTCTCCGACGGCAAGAGGTGTGCCTTAGAAACGTTAATGCTTGCTTTCCCTGGAAACTGGCGATTTATGCCCAAAGGCCCAATTCTAAGATGACTTACATTGTTTTCTGAGAGGAGCGATCTACTGAACCAATGTTGATATCTTTCATGTATATGTTTGTGAAAGCAAAGAGCAAAAGCACAAACACAACTTGAGGACTCATGATTCCAAAGTGGCTGATGCTGTTACCAATTTCCATCCGGCTTCCTGTATTCCGGACCTGATAACAATCAAAATTGTTTGTGGGGTTTGCCAGAACGATTGTTCTGGTGCTATATAATAAGAAGCATTCGTCCATGCACGTGTAATATGTATAGTGTGGTTATTTTATTAGGTACTTTTGTATTGTTACAAGAGATAGGTAGGCATGGAACCCAGATTCTCGTGTTGGGCAGTGGACAGTACCTCAACTTTTGCTTTGAATTCCCTTTCACCAGACCCAAGTCTCCTAATAGTTTCTTAACAGCTAGCCTAGTTCCATTCGCCAAAGTTGCTCTGTAAACTAGACCAAAACCTTCAACAGTGATGTTTGCTTGACTGAAATTGTCAGCCGCCTTAAAGATTTCAGGTATACTAAGATCCTTGATTTCATTGGTATTGATTGGGAACACTATGACATCACAAAATGTAGAGGCCTCTTTTTTTTACTAAATTATGATCTAATAGGGTTTTGTTATTTGGTTTTAATTTTGAGGGTATTTAGGTATATTTAAGTGGTTTTTTTGCTGTATTTGAAAGATTTTATAAAAAATGATAATTATGAAATTAGATGTTAAATTTTGGTTATTATTGATAAATACCCACTATGCAAAAAAACATGAGGCAATAAAGAGTCTTACTTTTAAGAGTCTCCTTATCATTTCCCAAATTCATTTCATTTATTGTCAGAAATAAAAAAAAACGTGTGAGGAAAGCTAAAAATAGTGTAAAATTACTACCCATTCCTTTGTTGTTGTTTTCTTTTTCAACTATTATATACGATTGGTGCTATGTAACATCTCATGTCATTCAGGGGTGTGGATCTTGTAAGCTTTATATGTATATTCTCATCTCTACCTAGCACGAGACTTTTTGGGAGCTCATTGGTTTCGGGTTCCATCGGAACTTCGAAGTTAAGCGAGTTCGTGCGAGAGCAATCCCATGATGGGTGATCCACTGGGAAGTTGCTCGTGAGTTCCCAGAAATAAAATCGTGAGGGCGTGGTCGAGGTCCAAAGCGGACGATATCGTACTATGGTGGAATCGAGCCCGGGATGTGGTGGGGGCTCAAGCCGGGATGTGACATGCTATTTACATTTTACACAACCATTTTTATCTCTTACACTTATTAATTTTTTGTTATTGATTTTTTTCAATTCATTCGACGTGACGGTCGGGAATTAAGAGATGTGTGTAAGAAAAAAAAATAAGTGTGTGGATAGCATTACCATTATATTATTCTAGTTTAGAAAATTAGGAAAATCAGGGTAGACGATGGATTGTTCTATTAGTTCTTCTCTAATTTACCGTGTCTCGAACTCAAAATCCCTTTCTAAACTTAAGATACACTAAGTTATAAAACTTACTGAATGACAAGAAGACCGCATAGCGCAGTGGATTAGCGCGTTTGACTTCGGATCAAAAGGTCGTGGGTTCGACTCCCACTGTGGTCGCTTCAAACTCTCAATTTTTTTTTCCTTTTTTAATTTTTTGTTTTCTGGAAAATGCTGCTGCACTTACAGCATTTTGTGCTCTCTGTGTCTGTGTGCTTTTTGGATCAGCTAGTTTCTTACTTATCACTCCAAAAGCACTTGAATAAAAGCACTTATTCCAGCTTTTATCCTCCCATGATTCAATTTGAGGATTTTAATTGAGTATCTCCACATCACAATCACAATGCAGCAGCAAAAGTTTGTAAACTTTCTAGGGTTTGAGGCATTGAGCTGCCTAGTCTATAGCTGAAATGTAGCACCTTATAGGACGGACAATCGCTAGCATATATATATATATATATATATATATATATATATATGTATATATATATTTTTTTTTTCGAGCCATGAACGAATTAGACTACTATTTTTTCGAGTGTGCAGTCACCGCATGAATTCAAACTGGTGCCGGATTATTGATACAGTTATTTATAACGATGTCACATTAGGAAAAATGAAAAACAGAAAATCGTGCTTCCGATGAGTAGGGTTGTGTATGGATCTTCCTGTTAAACGAGGATAATCCGAAAACCTTGTGCTGAAGAACAATCTATTTAGCATACAGATACTCAGTAGAGATGCAGAAACTTGCAAGAAAATATTGGATATTGAATCTTCTGTAAATCCGCTAAACTCCAGAATCGATACTATACACTGAACATGTGCAAAAGGGATCACATCTTTGTTACGTACAAATCATTTTTCACTACTCCCTCAGCATCCTACTTGTATAACGCATTCATATAGGGGAAAATTTTGAAAGTCCAAGAACAAGAGAGCCAAAGAACCAACTGGCTTCATAGGATGATGGTACAGGAAGACTCATAATAATCGGGAAAAGAAGATTACCACAATTAAAGTACTTCACTACCTTTACTCGGCAGCCTTTTTCCTCCTACCACCTTTTCTTGGAGCGACAGTGACAGGCTCTTCAGCCTTTTCCCGCGGTTGCTGATTATTTACAAGTTTTTTGGACGAGTTTATTTGATTTCTTAGCCGCAATATTTCACCCTTGGCAGATGCCAATTCCCCTTCCAATTTTTTGCTTCTCTTCTCCAGACCATCCCTTTCCTCGCTCAGTCTCATGGCAAGATTACGGACATCTTCCATGTTTTCTCGGGCCTCTTTGGACGCAATCTTTTGCTCTGTTAGGGACTTGTAAACGACCTCTTTCTCATCTTCAAGGCTAGAAATTAGAGAATTAGCCCTCTCAAAATCTTGGGAAAGTACCAACGCATTTCGGCTCATCTCATCCAGTGCTTTGGTAGCCCCTTCCAGGTCTGTTTCAAGAGACTTACGAGACTGCTTGTCTTTCGAAATCTGCTTCTCCAGAGCTTGAACTTCTTTTTTTAAAGAAGAAACTAGCTCTTTTTCTTCTTTTAGATCATTAGAAGCTCTTTCGGCATCTTTATAGACGTCAACCAATTCCTCCTGCAGGCTATCACGTTTTGTCGCAGCAGTTGCTAATTCCTGGGACAGAACTTGCAGCTCCTCATTTGTCTTCTTCAAAAGTTCCTTTGCTGCAGCAAGCTCACCGGCAACGGCATCACCACTTAAGGTAGCCTCATCAAGGCTCCTCTGCAGCGATTCCCTGACCCCAGCAAACTCGGCCTGAACCCTAGAGATCTCAGCTTCAAGCTCCGTGCACAAAAATTTTGACTGTTTTAATTGATTTTCCAAATTGGAAGCTTCACTTCTTGATTTTACAAGAGCTTCCTGAGTACTCTTGAGTTCAAGTTTCAGATTCTTTTCATTTTCCAGTTCTTTATCCAGAATTTCCTTCAAATTTTCCTTCTCTCGGGTCAAATCAGCAATTACTTCTTTGTTTCTACTCGTGTCATTCAGAGCAAGTTCAAGCTTTTCCTTTAGCTGCTGAAGTTGCTCTTCCTTTTCTCCCAAATGCTTAGCATCCAAATCTGCCTTTCTAGCGGAGGATGTCTTCAGCTTATTGTATTCCTCCTGAATAGCAACAAACTTCCTCTTCAAATCATCCATCTCAGAAATTAAAGAACTAACGGTTGCATTCAGTTCATCGACATATAAATTCTTCAAATCCAATTCCTTTTGATTTTTCAGGACTTCGCCCTTCAATTTTTGAATATCTGAAAGTGTATTGGCTAGTTCATCCCTCGTTTGATTGTAGATAGATTTCAAGTCCTTCAACTCCATATCTTTTGCAACAAGAGAAGAGCCAAGACTTTGAACATTATTTTCTTTATCATTGATGTCTGAATTGAGCAAATCAATCCTTCCCTGTAGGACTTCAATTGAGTTTTGCTTTTCCTTCAAATTTTCTTCAAGTACCACTTTTTCTTCTCCGGCCCTTGAAAGGTTGGTTTTAAGACTGCCAATTTGAATTTTAAGCTCCTCAATCAATTTCTTCTCACCATTTAGTTCCTTTCCTAAGCTTGCAATTGTACTTTTTGCCGAACTCAGTTGGCTTGTTAGAGAATTCTGCTCTTCCTTTGCCT